AGGGAAAGAAGAGTTGAAATTATCTCTACTTGCAGGTGATATGATTGTGTACATAGAAGACCTATAGGCTTCCATGAAAAAAAAAAAACCTCCTTGAAGTAATAAATGAATACAGTAAAGTGGCAGGATACAAAATCAACTTACAAAATTCTATAGCATTTCTACATACAAGCAGTAAGCAGACAGAAGTAGCACTGAAGAAAGTAATCCTATTTATCATAGCCACAAAAAATATAAACTGAAAATCTTCAAAAAGAAATTGAAAATGTCAGGAAAAAGTGGAAAGACATCCCATATGCCTGGATTGGAATAATTAATATAATCAAAATGGCAATTCTACCCAAATCTAGCAAATTACCAGAAACATTAATGTAATCCCTATCAAATTACCAGAAATATTCTTCACAGATCTAGAAAAGATCTAGGAAATAATAAAATTTGTTTAGAATCATAAAAGACTCCATATTGCCAAAGCAATCCTGTGGAAGAAGAGTAGAGTGGTTGACATCTCACTCCCTGACCCCCAAATATATTACAAAGCTGCAATAATAAAAACAACATGTTATTGGTATAAAAACAGACATGTGGGCCAATGGAACAGAATAGAGAAACCAGAAATAAACCCTGAAACATACAGCCAACTGATCTTTGATAAAGGGTACCAGTCAATCCAGTGTGAAAGGAAAATCTCTTTAGCAAGTGGTGCTGAAAAAACTGGGTATCTACCTGAAGAAAAATGAAACCTAACCCCTATTTCTTACCATTAATGAAATCAACTCAAAGTGGATCAAAGACCTAAACCTAAGACCTCAAACTATAAAACTACTGGTGGATAACACTGGAGAAACTCTGGGAGACATTGGTGTAGGCAAAGACTTCTTAAGTAATATCTCCAAAGCACAGGCAATAATCCCCAAAATAGGCAAGTGGGATTACATCAGATTAAGGTATTTCTGCACAGAAAAGACACAGTAATTAGTGTGAATTGACAACCCTCTGAATGGGAGAATATTTTCTGTAAACTATAGCTCAGATAAGGGACGAATAACCAGAATACACAGGAAACTCAAGCAACTTACCTGAAAAAAATTATTAATCCAATTAAAAGATGAGAAAATTAGCTGAATGAACAACTCTCTGAGGAAGGCATACAAACAGCCAAAAAGCATATGAAAAAATGGTCAACATCCCTCATCTAAGGGAAATGCAGATCAAAAACCACCGTGAGATACCACCTAACCCCAGTCAGAATGACGAAGATTTAAAAAAGGAAAGTGCTGGCAGGGATGTGGTAAAAGGCGAACTCTCCTACACTGCTAGTGGGAATGAAAATTGGTCCAGCCACTGTGGAGGACAATATGGTCCTCAAAGACCTACAAGTAGGACTACCATATGATCCAGCAATTCCTCTCCTGGGTATCTGCCCAAAGGATAGGAGAATACTCAATCAGAAAAGTGCTTGCACATCTATGTTTATTGCAGCATTATTCAGGATTTCCAAGACATGGAAGCAACCCAAATGTTCATGAACAGAAGAATGGATTGAAAAAAGTGTTGCACAGATATTTCATGGCATACTATTCAGCCATAAAAAACAAGACCCTGGAATTTGATAGAAAGTGAATGAATATGGAAGACTTATTGCTGAATGAAGCAAGTCAGGCTATGAAAGAGGAACATTGTATGTCTCCACTTAGCATATCCTGACTGTCCATACTCTATGGTGGAAAATGAAATATTAGAGGACATAGAAGTATTGAAAGTGGTTATGAATACTGGAGATAATGTGACAAAAGGGTGGGAGAAGGGGGAGCATGTAAGGAAAGAAATTAAGGAGAAAAATACATAGGAAAGACATTTATGGGATGCAAAAATGGTTTAATATCTGTTGGTAATATGTTTTATATCCTCAACTGGACTGGTGTGAAGTGTATTCATGTTGGGTAAATTCAACTTACAAGCTAAGTGATGTATAGTGATTAAATATATAAAATAAATTTAAAAATTAAGAGAAACATGCTCAAAGATATCAGTAAAATAAGAAAAGAAAGAACAAATGTATAAAGAAGTGTTGAGAGTGAGGAGCCGTAGGTGCTTAGACAAACCACCTAATTGTACTGCACTATAGCTAAGCCCCAGGATGTTAGTTTGGAAAGGTTCAGATGCTTAGATAGAAAGTGCTTTATAGAAAATTGGGCAATAATCTTATCTGTACTGTTAGAAGCATATACTAAGATCTCTAATAAAGATTCCAATCAAGAGGAAACTTATTTCCCAATAAAGTATAATGTTCTCATTTAACTTGTTCTGTGGGGACATCCAAAAAGTTTTTCTTACATTCTCATTCTTACAATGTTGAGTAAGTGGTTATTGAGAACTTCCAGAATGAGTGCTTCAGGCTTCTAAGATTAAGTGGTTTTTGATTTGATGGTAAGCTAGGAACAGAGCTAGGTCCAAATGTCCTAGAAGTTTCAAGTCTTTATGGCAGGGGAGGTCACTGGCCTGGGTTACTGTACCTTGCTAACCAGAATTCTCCTTACAGACGGCTTTCCTGCGTCATTTACAAGTGCCAAGTCTATATTTAGCACAAAGGCTCAGGTGAAGATGCAGCTTTTGAAGGATGTTGTGGGAAATGACACATACAGAATAAACAATAAATATGATGAAACGTATCCCCCTCTCCCTGTGGAAGAAGTCTTGCAACGATCAGAGTTTGTGATTGGACGGGAAGTGTCATATGACATATTTGTCAACAATTGTGAACATTTTGTGACTCTGCTCCGCTATGGAGAAGGAATTTCAGAGCAGGTGAGTTTTCTTTAGGAGATATAAGAAGTTTCTGACCTTGGAAAAAGAATGACTTTGGCTATCTTAAGGTCCCCAGGGAGAAGGGAAGACAAAAAACAAACAAACAAACAAAAAAAAACGAAAAAGCAAACAAACAAAAACCAAGAAGGTATGAGAATACTGAAGAAAAAGGGGAATTGAGTTGCCCAAGGTCATACAGCAAGTTAATGACCAAACTGAAAGTCAAACATCATGAAGTGTCTTTTAAATTATTTTAAATTTATTTTTATTATTTTTTTATACATTCAACCACTATACATCATTTAGCTTGTAGAGAGAATTTACCCAACATGAAATACACTTCAGATCAGTCCAGTTGAGAATACTGTGCACGTTATCATCAATAGGTAATAAACCATTTCTATGTCCCATAAATGTCTTAATTCTCTATTTTTTTCCCTGATTTCCTTTCCTACACTTTTCTTTCCCACCCTCCTTCCACCCTGTCTCCAGAGTTCATAACTATTTTCAATGCTTTTATGCCCTCTAATCTTTCAGTCTCTACCATAGTGTGGACAGTTAAGTGGAGATATACAATATCTCTGTTTCATAGCCTTACTTGCTTCATTGGTAATAAATCTTCCATATTTGCCTACTTTCTATAAAATGCCAGGGTCTTATTGCTTTTTATGGCTGAATAGTATTCCATGGTATATACATGCCAAACTTTTTCAATCCATTCTTCTGTTTGTGGACAGTTGGATCGATTCCATGTCTTAGCAATCGTGAAAAATGCCACAATAAACATGTAAGCACTTTTCTCACTGAGTATTCTCCTATCCTTTGGATATATACCCAGGAGTGGAATTGTTGGGTCTCTTAAAGTAGAGTCAAGGCCATAGCTCTCTATCAGTCTAATTGCCTTCTGTTGTCTTTTTTTCCACATTATTTCTTTGTACATCAACCTCAAATCAACCTCATATATTTAAAAGAATATGCTGTAAAAGATGTTGACTTTTTGAGTGTGAGTTAATTTGCCAGAAAATGTGATGTCAATTCTGAGATTCTTTTTCATTAGCAGGTGGGGGCTAACTGATGACAGATATCCTGGTAGGCTTGTAAATGATTTTTGTTTACTTAAAATGCTTTCAACAATTTTGTTCTTTTTTAAAATTTTTTAAATGATTTTATTTAACTTCATTCATTCATTCATTTTTAATTTGACCAGAGAGGGAGAGAAAGAGAGAGAGAGAGAAAGTGAGGAGGCAAGAAAGCAAGTCACCGGGTCTGGGATTCAAACTGCAGCCAGCCATGTGAGAGTCCAGCGCCCTTATCCACCACACCACCTGCCAGCCCCAACCAACATGGCCAACTTTGTTCTTTAAGTAGATCCTTTGGTTCATTTAACTTGTGGATGGCTTTTAATGGATTAATTGACTCTATTTTTAAAATACCTTTTAATTTTTTTAGTTAAAACCACTATTTTGTAGTATGGCAAATTCCTAATTAAAGGTATACTTTTCATCACTGATATTTTAAATCAAATTTTATTAAAAGAATGTAAGAGAATGAATGTGTAAAACTATTACCAACAGGAAGTTCCCTTCATCCAAAATACATATAAAAGTGTAATTTTTTTATTGGTGGGAATGTAAACTAGTACAGCCACTATGAAAAACAGTATGGAAGTTTTTTTAAAAAAACTGAGAATAGAACTACCTTATCCAGCTGTCATACTTATATCCAAAGGAAAGAAAATCAGTATGGCATAAAGATATCTATACCCTCATGTTTATGCAGCACTATCCACAATAGCCAAGATATGGAATCAACCAAGTGTTGATCAGAAACAAATAGATAAATAAAACGTGATACACATACACATGCATACAATGGGATACTGTTCAGTCATTGGAAAGAATGGAACCCTGTCATAAAATATTATACATATATATACACATATATGTGTGTGTGTGTGTGTGTGTATATATATATATATATATATATATATATATATATAGTATAAAATTCAACACTTCAGGATAAACATACAATTTCCCACCATTGTACCATATATTTTGACAATATAAGTTACCTAATATTCAAAATGGGTTATTTCTTCCATGTTTTAATGATTTTTTTGAGACTTCTCCTTGATTATTACTCTACTTTTTCATTTATTCAATCAGTGCTCAGACAGTATTATCTCACCCACTCAACCTATTTCAGAGCCAATCTGTATCAGCCCAGAGAATGTAACGAGGCCAAATATAGAAAGTCATATTGACTCAAAAAAAAAAAAAAAGTAAGTGGGTGAGCCTGAAGGATGTTATGATAAGTGCAATAAGCTAGGCACAGAAAAAGAAAATACCATGTGATCTTGCTCATATGCAGAAATTAAAGAAATGACCTCCTAAAATTTGAGAGATGAGGAATGACTACTAGAGGTTAGTAAAGATAAGGGAGAGCAGGGCTGGGACCAGTAGTTAGCGTAATGGCTATTTCTCTGGACTCCCATGTAGTCGACCGTGGTTCAATTCCTGGACCTGGTGGCTTAAACTCATGCCAGGCGCATGTGCGTGTGTGCCCAAGATCCCGAGAGGAGAATGGAAGTGAAGGGATTGCGGCATGGCCATCCCCCCTGGGGGGTGATTTCTCGCTTCTGTCTCACTGTCTCTCTCTGTCTCTCTGGTGAGTGCACGCGCCCTGTAGAAAAATAAAAAATAAAAAAATAAAATAACAAAAAACCTCAACAAAGGAAAAAAAAAAAAAAAAAGGGAGAGCAGGGCTAAGGGATGAAATTCCAAGTCCGAAGCATAATTCTGGGACTGGCAGATGCTGTAGCTGTTTACGTAGCTGGATTCCCATATAGGAAACCTGGCAACTTAAAACTTATGCTGGGTGCATATGCATGCGTGCCCAGAATCCCCAGAGAAGAATGGAGGAGAAGGTATTGTGGCATGGTTATCTTCCCTGAGAATGATTTCTTGCTTTCTATCTCTCTGTCAAGCACATGCAGCCTATAGAAAAATGTATCTCAATAAATAAATAAGAGGAACAATTCTAGTCTTAGAAAATACAGTAGGGTGAATATAGTTCATGGTAATTTATCTTGTATTCCAGAATAACTAAAAAAGGATTTTGAATGTTCTCAAAATAAATGGCTGAGATCATGGATATATTAATTGCCCTGACTTGATCAATATATTTTGTATTCTTATACTAAAAAGTCACATTATATTCCACACATATGTACATTTATTATATGTCAATTGAATTATATACACATTTTTTAAAGTTAATTTTAGTATTAAAATATCAGAATAATTTAATAGATTTTTTTCATACCTAAAGATCTTTTTTTAAATTTCAAATTCTTTTATATATTCAGTCATGTTATTTAGCTTGCAAATTGGTTATTCCAACATTATGTACATGTATTTCTCACCAGCCCAGTTGATAATACTATAAAGTTATCTTCAAGATATAACACCCCATTTCTTTGTGCTATTAATGCTTTGCCTCTCTATTTTTCTCCTTAATGTCCTTCCTCAGACTCTACTCCTTCACCCACCCTCTTCCCACACTATATCTGGTATTCACAACCATTTACTGTGTTTCTATACACTTTAGTCATTCAGTTTCAGTCATAGAGTGTGGACACTCAGTATATATTAAAGTGGAGACGTACAGTGTCTCTCCTTCATAGCCTAGCTTGCTTCACTTCGCATTAAATCTTTAATATTCATCCACTTTCTGTCAAAAGCCAGGGACATGTTGTTTTTTATGGCTGAATAGTATCCCATAGAGTATATGTGCCACAGTTTTTCAATCCATTCATCTGTTCACGGGCATTTGGGTTGGTTCCATGTCTTAGCAATTGTGAATAATGCTGCAATAAACATCGATGTGCAAGCACTTTTTTTTGATTAAGAATTCTTCTGTCCTTTTGGTAGATACCAAGGAGTGGGATTGCTGGATCATATGGTAGTTCTATTTGTAGATTTTTGAGGAATCTCCAAATTGTTCTCCACGTTTGTTCACCAATTTATATTCCTACCAGCAGTGTAAGAGAGTTCCCCTTTCACCACACCTCCGCCAGGACTTATCTTTTTTTTTTTTTTTTTTTTTTTTTATTTAATCTTAGTCATTCTGACTTGGGTTAGGTGGTATCTCATTGTTGTTTTGATTTGCATTTCCTTTACGATGAGGGATGTTGAGCATTTTTTCATATGCCTTTTGGCAATTCATATGTCATCTTTAGAGAGTGTTTTTTTCAACTAATTCTCCCATATTTTAATAGGGTTGATCATCTTTTTTGGGGGATAGCTGCTTGAGTTCCTTGTGTATTCTGTTTATCAGTCCCTTATCTGATGCATAGTTACAAAAATATTTTCCCACTCTGAGGACTGTAGATTCACACTTGTTACTGTGTCTTTTGCCATGCAAAAACTTCTAAGCCTGATGTAATCCCACTTGTCTATTTTGGGGATTATTGACTGTGCTTTCAGGGTCTTATTTAAGAAGTCTTTGCCTATCCCAGTGTCTCCCAGAGTTTTCCCAGTGTTTTCCAGGAGCAGTTTTAGTTTGAGGTCTTAGGTTTAGATCTTCGATCCACCTTGATTTGATTTTTGTCAATGGTGAGAGGTAAGGGTTCAGATTCATCTTTCTGCAGGTAGAGATCCAATTTTTCCAGCACCATTTGCTGAAGAGGTTTTCCTTTTCCCACTGGATTGACTGGTGCCCTTTGTCAAAAATCAGTTGACTGTATGTTTGGGAATTTATTTCTGGGAACTCTATTCTGTTGCATTGGTCTATCTGTCTGTTTCTGTGCCAATACCATGCTGTTTTGATTACCACAGCTTTGTAGTATATTTTTGGGCCTGGGACTGAGATGCTGCCCACTCCACTCTTCTTGTGCAGGATTGCTTTGGTAATACGATGTCTTTTATGATTCCAGAGAAATTTTATGATTGACTTTTCTAGATCTGTGAAGAATGTGTCTGGTACTCTGCTTGGGA